AGCATGTAATTTATTAGATTTTTTTGAACTTTCACCAGTTTGGGCAGTAGCCCAAAGGAAGTGGGAGTAAGTGTCTACAGTTACAAATACGTATTTTTGTCTGCCGAATTGGGGGACATGGGTTACATCAATTTGCCAGAGGGCATTAGATTTTAGCCCCTGAGGATTGGTGCCCATCTGTTGTATAGCAGGGGTATGGATCATTGATGTACAGGAAAAGCAGGTTTTAACAATGTGTTTAAGTTGTTTGAGGGGAATTTGGGGGAATCTGAGATGGAGCCCTTGTAAATTAATGTGGGTGGCATGGTGGAGGTGCTAGGCATCTGTTATGCTGGTGGGGAATGTTCCAGCTTGGCTACCTCATCTGCTATGGCATTTCCTTCAGTAAGAGGACTTGGGAGGGAGGAGTGGGACCTGATACGTTGGATAGACAATGGAGCCACCCATTTTTGTAACAGTGTAGAAATTTTAACTAGCAGAGGTGAGAGGGGGTTTCCATCTATCTTGACAAAGGAGTGACCTAGCCATGGGAGTAAATTAACAGCGTAAATGCTATCAGAATAAAGGTTGAAGGGCTTATCAATTTTATCAAGAGCCATATAGATAGCAAAGAGCTCTTTAAACTGTGGGGATTTATCAGATAAAGGCTGAAAATATATTATAGGTGGATTATCATGAGAATCATATATGACTAATGCAGCTTCTTTTTTCCTTCCATCTGTAAAGGCTGTAATAGTCTCTTTTATTGGTTTATTGCAAAAAAGTCTAGGCGGTAGCCAGCAAAATGTTGGAATAACTGACATCCATTTATCTTTGGGATAGTGATTATCAATTTGTCCTGGGAAACCTATTAAGCTAATTGCAAAGGAGGAGTGATGCTTTAAGAGCCATTGTACATCTGATAATGAGAAGGGGGTAATGAGAATATCCGCTTCCTTTCCTATGATCTGTATGACCCTATTTCTCTCCTGTCGGACCATGGAAGCAAGGGTGTCCACTTCTGTAAGGAGGCGAGGAGCGCCACCTACTGGCGTGTGAAGCCATTCTAGTACTCCGTGTGG